TAACCCCCGTATAACACGGTAGTTACGTTCCAAAAAATTGCCGTGTTATGCGAAAAGGAGGGTTAGGTTCCAAAAATTAAAAAAACATGCTACTATATTTTCATAATTAAGATAAATATCTTCATTAAAATTTTCTTAAGTGATACATATTAATATAAATTAAACAATGTTTTCTTTGTCATCACTAAAAACACTATTAACCGAGAGCGTTTTATTTTTGGCAAGTTATCGTTATCCTCTGAGCATTTTTCTGCATTATTTTCAGATTCATGCTTTACCTTTTACAAAAAAAGTATGTAATTTTAAATTGCTTGCTTCTAGTTAAAAGATCTTTATAAATTTCCTTATATGGTGCTAAGCGCTTATGGAATAAGGGAAAAACATCTGGCAACCTCAAAGTAGAAGCGTCGAGATCTGGCAAAATTGAAATAATTTTCGCGAAGGACCATGTGTATGGAGACGAGAAAAGAAAATTTACATACTGAAGTACTAATAGTTCACGAAAATAATAATTTTTGTGAACTATTAGTACTTATGTATGTAAAAATTTATTACATTTCATGTTGTACGAGGGTTTTACCCATTTCTCGAACAGTGTCAGATTAAATCCGTGCTATAGAAGTGCCGTGTTATACGGGGGTTACCTGTACTGCATAATCAATTTACAATATAACTCGAAGCTTTCATAAACTATTTTTATATAAAAGTTTTATTCTTATAAATTAATTTTTAATAAACCGATATTGTTTTGTGAGAATTTAAGATATTTTAAATTAATTTATTAATAAAATATATTTTGTAGGAGATTCTGAATTTTTATTTAGAAAATCATTTTTTTAGCATTAAAAAATTGATTAAAAAATTATTTTTGGAAAGAATAAAATGCGTAAATTTTATTCTTCCCAAGAACGAAGTAACGAAGACTTTAAAAGATAGATAAGTAATTTTAATACTTTTAAGTAAATTTTTATTTAATTCGTGCAATTTTGGGTCGTATTAAACTAACTTTTTGTCATTTATTAGCAGTGGCGTGCCGTGACATTTGATGATAGGGAAGCTGTGTTTCTGTAAGAAGCCGACTTCCAGGGGCATTCAGTTAATTCTCTAAATGTATTTTTAATAGATTATTTATCTGACGTACTTAATAAATAAACAAGTTCAATATCCTCAATTACCTCTGTTATTAGATTCAATAGATTCCCCATGTCCTCTAAATGCCGATTCTTGCTTTGATAAAAACATATAACATCTATTAATTTAAATATATCTATTAGCCGTATACCTTGATATAATTTTCAATATTTATTTTATATTATTTACTAATGTTAAATTCTATTCCGCTTTGATTTCCAAATTACTTCAAATACGAAAGAATCGACAATTTTTCGTGTCTTTTGCCAGCTAAATCAGTGTTTTTCAACCTTCTTGAATACGCGACCCCTTTACAAGTTAAAAAATTCTGGCGACCCCCCAGGGCTATATTAAAACTATATCAGTGATTTTAAAAACTATGTATTTAATTTTCTTTCTGTTGAGACAAATTATTGTTGATTAAAATGAAAATTTTATAAGAATCGACAATAACTTAACACAGATAAAGTATGAAAGTTCCTTTAATTATAGCATTGGGCACAGGGAGCCGTTTACTTTTTTTTTAGGATCAGGATTTTCAGCTTCTACTTTTTTATTTCTTCCCAGGCCCTTCCCTGGCTGCACCCATGGTTGAGACCTAAATATCGATCAAAACACCAATTGTACTGTAAAATAAACAGGTACAGCCTTCTCGCTGAAATTGTACCTTTTTTTAATGTAGTGTGGGACCTACAAACACTTGTCTTTTCCTTTTACCCGCGACCCCCCATGGGGATCGCGACCCACAGGTTGAAAAACATTGAGCTAAATTGTCAAAGCCATTCTTATTCCACACACTAATTTCATTTGAAAATAATAGGCAAGCCAACAAAACAATTTTTGCATTTTTATGCATCTACAGAGCCATTTTATCGTGAAATGTCGAAGAAAATTGTTTTTTTTTTAAGTGTTTGTATTTAACTTAGGCATTGGCCTTTCTCTTTTAATAATGTTTTTTTTTTTATTATATGATTTTGAGTGAAAACTTTTTAAAAATAAATTTTCAATATCGCAATTACATTCTGAATCGCTAGCCACGATATAAGGGCTAAAATTAAAATTAAAATTATAAAAACTTACTTGGTAAAATAAAATGTGTGGTGGATGTACCGGTACATACCTGGTATAAAATATTCTTCAATTGTATGAATATACTTTTAAAGAAAATAATAATTAAATATAGCTTTGTAAAGAAACGTACATAAAAATAACATAAAATATTGTTTACTCTTTAAATCTTAACCACTTAGTCAAATAGCTCCATACCAGTGGAATCAGAGACGACCTTGGTAGGTGTGCAGTGCGTGCATGCATGCCAAATCCCGAGGGTGCCGATATCGGTTAATGTCAAATGCCTCTTTTGTCGCATCATAGTATACCTCAAATGCGACAGGGTTGTTGTAAATTTTAAACGTTTCTCACCATAGCTGTAAAAATCTAAATATGTTAAACTTAATAGTCATTTGTTTTCTAATTTGTTTTAGGACCAGGTGTTGTCCCCGAAAATTTCCAAAATTTACAACTTTTCGGTCACTCTCGTTGAACTAGAAAAATTTCTGTCTTTATTACATTAATAATATGAAGAAATCAGTCTCTACTGTACTCGACTAGAGATGGTTCGGTTAAGCTTTTGTTTAAGTAAAATTTCGGCTCTTTCGTCAGGGTTTTGTTTATGTCCCCAATTCCCTAATTATTTAACTACTTCTTAAGTAGAAATAAGTCAAAACCAGTTACTTTGTACTCGAATATTTGTAGTCTCGGGAAAAAATGGAAAGACAAATTTTTATGACAACAGATACATAAATCGTAAATTTAAGGAATATAAATTCTAGAGCTTTTTCTGTACCTCGTGCATCTCTCTCATTCATTACATTTAGTTGTAAATGATGCTACCAAAGTAACAGTTAATTTTTTAACATTATACAAGAATTGTACACGTTTTTTTCTGCATCCACTTAAAGATGGGAAATACGAAATCGTAATATCACTGGTTTAACATTGAAATCCGTGAGTAATATAAAATCAGAGAGCGGAATAAAAATACAGTGAAACCTCGGTATACGACCTTAATCCGTTCCTGGTGTTTGGACTTATACCGAATAGGACGTATACCAAACCAACCTTTTCCATAAGAAGTAATGTAAAAATGATTAATCCGTTCTCATGTAAAAAAATGGCTGGCTTTAAACACCTCGCTTTCCTGGCTAGTTTCTGCTTGATTTTTCATGAGATCAGCATGTATCCTTTTAACTTTCTCGCAAATAATTTTTTCCGATACGCTGTTGCCGGCACACTGTTTTTCAGTTATCCAAAGCAAAAGCAATTTCTGGACATGATCGAATGTCTTCGATCTCTTTTTAGAAATTGATTTAACCCCTTTCGCAACGTTAGCAAATTTAATAATGTTTTTATTTTTCACGATTGTCGATGTCGTCGTTCTCGGAATACGGTATGCAACAGTTAAATCTCGAACACGCATGCCACCTTAATATTTCTCAACAATCTCTTTTTTCAGTTCCGTTGCGATTCTATTCATTTTTATTTTTATTTTTCTGTTGCCCTTTTGCAATCCATGATTAATAAAAATAATAAAATGTTACTTAAAAATTAAAATCAGAAGAAATTTAACAAAGTTATAAACCGTAGCACCGCGAACGTCTAGTCTAGTGTAGTATACCGATAGTGCTACTTGTTGATAGATGGCGCATATAATTGAATTAAGTCGTATACCGAGCAAAATTTATTTCGTCCAAACAGGACGTATTCCGAATTGGACGTATTCTAAAGCAGACGTATACCGAGGTTCCACTGTATCAAATATTTTAATGGGTTTTTTTAAAACTCCTGTCAACTATACAGAACTATCATAAAAACATACCAGTAAATTCTTATCGGTTGAGTTAAGTTATAAATCTACTCGTTATTCACGTAATCGGGCGAGGGCGGCTAACATCCCAGAACCGGTCCTGGATAGAATTGGATCCGTTATACGCGTAGCATCCACCAGAGGTCCTAGGCTTCCACCGGCTAAACCGGGTGAGGTTGGTGCTCCGTAAAGCGCATGCGCGAATCTAGCTTTTTGGATGCTGACGATACAGAGCTTCCACTCCGCCCTAATATTCGAATATACAATAGCAATCTTATGTTTTTTTTTTTTTCACGTGTAGTATAGAAATTTGTAATAAGATACATAATGCGGTTATAATAAATTATTGTGCGATTATTTTCGTATAATTAAAATTAATATGTATTTATTTTTTAGGAAATACAAGGGAAGCGGCGCATCCACCGCTTCCAATGACGGCACGCCACTGTATTTTATTAAACCGGAAAAAGTGAATGGTAACCCAGTGTGTATTTCACGTCCACGCCCGATTGTCTGGACTCCTCGCACACAGTCGGCAAGCCTTAAACAGAGGTTCGGCTAAAAATCAAGATTTTATGCATCAATTTATTGTGCCAGATAATAAACTATCAATACGATATTTCCCTGGGTCTTATTACGTAGAATCGTCGCGTTAATATAAACCTCTCTATATTTTTCCAGAAACTCGAAAACGCTTAACGGAATGGTTGATCCATTCTCTCCAGGATTTAACAATTTTTTAAATTTGCGATATAAAAATTTCTGGAGTTTCTTGGCCCATTCAGATTTGATACTGGGTCCCATTTAAGGTGGCAGCCTACAATATTTGTCCGTCCCCCTCACTAATTTAGTGAGGGGACATATAAAAATGTGAGGCCCTAAGCTGTAACTTATTTAAGCTATGTGTAAATCTGGCCATAGCAAATTAGTATTTGATCAAATATATAATGCTTATTGTTTAATACAAATTATGAAGAGATCATTAAAACAAATATGGTACAAAATTTTATATTTGATCAAATTACTTTAAAAATTCTAAAATCCTATATTTATAAATAATTACTATAATTTTCAGAAAATAATCAATATAATTTTAAGTGTAAATATATGTTTTGATAACAGTATTTCAAAATTACAAGTAAACGCTAAAACTATAATTCTGAATTTAATTATAAAAATAATTGCATTAATATAGAATTACATGCATATTTTACTGGTTAAATAATATATATATATATATTTTATACAAAAGTCAATATTTAGGTTACTACAGATTTACAATGCATATTTTAAAAATTGATAAATAGTAAGTTGTCCTATCTGAGTTACAAATCATCATTTATCTTTCAATCAGATCTTAAAAATGGAATCATCATCAGGTACTATAACTGTTGGAAACTTTCAAAATACATTTCCAAGTAAATATAATCTTTCTTTCCTGAATGAATTTATCAAACAACAAGATATAAAACCATTAGCTAACATTAAACTCAAGCAAATTCATAGTATGCTTGAATTTACATTTATTTATTTATTTTTTAAACTCGGAGATGAATTACTCTACTTTGGGATGCAGTTGTCTTGGACGGATGAGAACCAAAGCTTCTTTACAATGTAAAAATTATCACCATCAAAAGTTTCTTCAAGTGAAATTTCTAAAACTTTATCCATAAAAATAATTTTTCGTACATATAGAATTTTTTAAATAGCATCTTTGGCTAAAATCACAAACCCATTTAAATGAGCTGCACAAGTATCATATTCATGAGTTTATATTGTAATTTGTATTAACACTATAATCTAATAATTATAATAGATTAACTATTATGAATCATTGTCAATATTGTACTACAGTTTTTTAAATTAGATAAATTCAATTGCTGTTATAAGAGACAAAGACAAAACATATTAAAAAGTTGTACTATTGTATAAATTGATAACAATATATTTATATAACTATTACAATAATGTTTATAAATAATTATTAAGTATATATTTGATTTTAAAAGGACAACATATATATGTATAATTGGAATAATTTTTCTAATATAAAAAAACAGTATAATTTATAAATATTTTAACTGTTTTGTTTGAACACTTACAGTTTAAAAACTGAAAAATTAAAAAAGCTTATTCCTATGTCCATAAACATTTTATACAATAACAACAATAACAAGACAAGAACGAACAGAAAAACTAATTTACAAATGAATGAACAGTTAGATTTTGAAGAAGAAAAAAAAAATTATAAAAAAATTTTAACCTTATTTCCACTTAGAGTTTAAACAATTAAAACAAAACAAGAAACATGAAATCTAATTTACAAATGAATTTTTTAACAGTTATTTTTGTATAAAGCCAAACCATTATTAGTACAATACAAAATGCCCACATAACAAACCATGTTTCAAGCAATTCTTAAGAATTCTAAGAAGGACCATCTTCTAATTTCCTCCAAACCACCTAAAAATTTTCAAATCAAATTATCATATAATATTAGCAAATGATAAAATTATTTATATTTCATTTTAAGCCTAAATGCTCACGTTGCACATTTCTCGAACTAATGCCTTTTCGCCTTCTGCCAATTCTTCTGAATCAATATCACTAGTATTAGTATGATCCAGATGTTCATGTAATTCTAATACCTATGAAAAAATAATAAACATATAAAAATATTATTAATAAAATAAAATAAATGAAATCTATCTAAAATTTTTATTCAAAATTTAAGAGAGATTCAACAATTATGGTACAACTTGAAAAATAAATCTATGTAAAATAATAGTTAATGCAAGATATAATTTACAGATTTAAATACAAACTAATTTATTTTTGAAACATTGCACTAAAATAAATAACTGAACACTGTACATTATCATCATTGACTTCAGACATATTGTATGTCTGAAGTCAATGTCTGATGATAATACCCTATTCACACTGTATATTTTAAGCCAGCTTAAATGACTAAGGTATGAAATATGAACAGAACTGACTTAACGTTAAACAGGTTTAACTACTAACAACTGGGTCAGCTTAAATCACTTTCTCAAAGAAGCTTAAGTTGCTTCAAGCTTTCCTCGAGGTCCGCCACAAGTTCAAAAATAATGGCAGAAGCAGATGTATAAATGTTTGAACAAACGAGACTCTTCTCTGATAGCATGTATATGCTGCTTCAGTATAACAAGTTTGAATAATAATAATAATAACACTGGCACACTTATTTAATTTTAGTTTTTGGTTGCTATGCCTTGACTGTGGTCTGGCATAGTACACAGCCACCGGTGTGAACCGAGTATAACCCACTATAATAATAATAATATAAATTTCTGTCAAGAATCCATTCTTATCACAGTTCTGTCACTAAAGTGATATAAACATTGAGAGAATCGTGCTGCCAATGACAACGACATCACTGATAATAAATGTTAATAATTCCTAACTAACGTCTTATCGTTTTAAATAAGTTATTTATATTTTAAATTTCTAAATATAAATTAATTTATCATGATTTATCAAAAATAAACAAAACTTTGATTTTATTTAAAATGTAATATTGAGTACACCCGCTTGAGGGCTAAGCGAATAATTCACTTTAATTACTTAGTGTGAACAAGTAGTTAATCTTGTTTTCGGCAATGCAACTTAACTTAATTCTACTTAAACCTTAATCCCACTTAAAATGTACAGTGTGAATAGGGTATAATGTACAGTACAGTGTTCAGTTATGATAATCTTCATTATGATAAGACTTTTTTAATATATAAGAATCAGTCATAAAGTAATGAACTGAATGCCCCTAAACAGAATGCACAACACAAAATAGTCTCATGGTAAAGAAAGCAGATATTCCTATTTATATTTACATTAGCTTAAGCATTTGTTACATGGCCAACATTTCAAATCAAATGATGAGATAAAAGCAGCTCTGAGATAATGATTCCAAGAACTCCACAGGAGTTTTACAACCATACCACTTATCTTGTTTCACAGTGGCATAAATGATAGACTGTATTTGACACCTTAACAATAATTAGTAGAAACATAATCCTTCTGATGTCTGGCTTGTTACTTTTTGACTGACCCTTATAATTCTGTACTTAAATCTTTTAATGTGGGTTCATGATTATAGTACGAAAGATATACAAATTTTTGCACCATATAAATAAAAGACTAAACATATGTCATTATTTTTAATATAGGAATTGTAAAGAATCATTAATAATCATTAATTAAATTTGTTTGATAACAATTTTAACATATTAAAATCTAAATTAAAGCAATATAACTTTAATAATAAAGTTGAAGAGCTGCCACAAACTACAAGAAGTGGGAGCTAGTTTACACTTGGTTGCACTCCAAAGCCCTGCCTTTTTTCCCCATGAGGCTATGAGCCATTTTTGCTAGGTAAGCTATGCGGGCATAAAACAGCTGCAAACTACACAACATTTGCTCACACAAAAGTGCTGCATTGTGGGAGATTAGCGACTAGTGTTGCCACCAGGCTGGATATTAAATTCATGGTCTGGATTAATTACAAGTGATGTTGATTCCGTGTTCAGAAGCTAAAAGCTCTCCTAAATGTGTTAGTGTGGAATCCCTCTTGTTCTTTTTATAGTAGTTCACATGACTCGGATTCCACAGATGTGATGGATTGTCTATAGAACAAAGATTTTATTATAACCTATACTTGTAATCAGTCAGTTTTCATTCTGAACTTGGAAACAGCATGGAAAAAACATGCCTACTAGTTACACCTAACTAGTTGGGCTTAACCTGTCCTACGTTGATCCCGAAAATATTTGTGTTGACCTCATTGACCTACGTGGGTGATCCCAAATATTTCCGTGTTTACATTGGTACGTTTTTGATACTAGATGTTGCTTCACGTCACAATTTTTATATTAAAACGAACTTTTAACATAAAATTTTTTTCGTTTTTATATTATTCATTATATATATTTTGTTTGTGAAACATAAAAAAATAACTTTTTACGATACAATAAACACCATTATTATTTTAAAAAAAAATTAGGCTTAACATCAACGAAAATTCAACATGGCGTCACAGGCAACAAATAAAAATTTCAACATCGAACAGGTTAACTAGCCGAAAATATATTTATGTACAATGTTTATACTATTTTCTTTTCAATACTGAATGTATTGTATTAATCATGTAATTTACTTACATCGATAAAATTCTATTATTTCTTTTTTGATGCTTGACAACACCTTCATGCATTCATCCATTTTCCCGCTCTCTCTTCCTAGTGCAAGTGCTCTATCTGTTGAATTCTGTCAACAGCGAGCGTATGCTCGCATTGCTGCGCTAGCAAAGGAAAAACCGCATAGCCATGAAGAAAGGGAAGGAGCCTTTGACATCATCGGATGTGTTATCGCATGTTTGCTAGTGTTTTGCTCTCGCTAGTTTGCAGCGGCTCTAAAGTGTAATGTGATAAGACAATACACTTACTTTCATTGCATGCACAACTGCCTCTGGTTTGCTAATTCCAACTGTGTCATTTTCTCCCTATAACAAAACCAAAAACATATATACTTCAAAATTTTATCTAATTTATGTAAAATATAATGGCAACACTCAATATAAAAATTAAAAATATATAATTATAAAACTGAATCAGTTTAAAAATTAAAATAATTACCACTGATGAATTGGAAGGTTGTCTATTAGACATATTCCAATGAACAAATCCATTAACGTTTCCTTGAGAATCTTTTGTTTCTGTTTTCTCTTCATTCATTTTCTGAGAAATTAAATATAAATAATGAGTTATTAAAACAACTTTTATTAATTTTCTAAATCTAAGGTTCTTTTCAAAATATTATTACAAAACAGCAATCCCAACCACTATTCCATGGGACACTAGTGTTCAGCACAAATTTCAGAATGCATGATTACTAGAAAACTATGGATACATGCATTTTTGTTAAATTTTGTAATGTTAGATAATGTAATTTATTATAATATAGTCTAAATTTTAAAAAAGTTTAAATCATTAGTAACAATATAATGTCCTCAATCCCAAACTTATATCTAATTTATTAGATAACTCAAAAATTAACAAAGTGAACTTATAAAAAATGAAATTTAATGTTCATAAAAAATACAACAGTTAGTTTATAATTAGCAAGTTTTCATTTTAAAGTTTAATTAATATGAATATTAATAACTTATAATTAATAAACTAATAACTAATATGATTATTATTGAAACTGATACAGTATTTTTGCAGAATGACAAGCATTCCTGTCTATTCAAGGGTGACCATGAAATCAGATTTTTCCATATGGTAAAAACTGGAATGTCAGTTTATCCCAGAGAATGCAGGATTGCTGCTTTAAGTGAAGTTATACATACTTCTCCAAAGGGTGCATTAAAAAAATTATGAGTTTTTATTCTAAAGCTGTGAAACTGTCAGGATTACATCAAAAACTATGATTATATGTTTAATTTCTTTATTTTGTCTTCTTTCTAACCATGTAAAATAATCGTGGAATTCTGAAAGTGCTTTTCTTATGTGTACTTTATTGTTATTTGATTCAAAATAACAAAAATAAACATATTAAATTTAAAAAACTCCTGTAAATTATCTCAGCTTACACTGATTAACATCTGCTTTTATACATAGTAGTAGTAATTGTTAGTGTGGATTACACTGACCATCTACCACTTAAAAATAACACCTTCCTCTCAAATTTCACACAGAGATTGTTAATCCATTTCACAGTTTTAGAATAAAAACACATAATGTTTTTAATGTGCCCTCTAGAGAAGGATGTACAGTACAACTTCAATAAGTCCACCAATAAGTCATTAATTGTTTTATTGTCTTGTAAACAAAAACTCTCTTCCTGATTTTAAGTCATTCAAATTACAATGTTATTATTTTATGGTACTCAGAAGAATGTTTTCTTTAATGTTTAATTAACAACTAGTTTTGTTAGATCTGATTAATTTTATATTTTAGTCAGTTTAACTGGCATGCTGGTCTCCCCCGTTTCTATGTGGCATGCTGGACATTTTGAGAAAATATGATACAACTTGTACAGTACACATATGAATGCATGAAAAAATTTAGAGTAGGTGCATTTTCTTTATTGTAAATTTTTGAATTTCTTAAATTTATTTTTCTTTTTATATATAATTAACAAATTTCCAGTAAAAAATAATTTTGCAAGATTGATTACAACTATTAAAAAATAAATCCAGCAATGAGTTGCATAATGCTCCCAGCAAGAGCTAAATTGTGTATAGTGCTGTTATGATATTACATTTTAAAAAATTTTTATATTATTATAAAATGACAAAAAGCTTAATATTAGTGTTGCAACAAATAGTATATTTGGCCATACTATTCGGCTTGATTAACGCATGTACGAAAATTGGCACGCAAAACGCATTATGGCAAGGATCCTGCTCTCTATTGGCCCGCTGTCACTACGCTTTGCCAATCGCGTTAATTCTTGACAGTTGAAGCGGACAGACACGAACATCATGGCAGTATGTGATAAGTGATGATATCAAATGTGGATAACAATGAAATGACCTACATGTGTAAATAACGGAAAAAGAAGAGAGAAGGACCGCGAAGTGAAAATGTGAAGATAAATATGAAATTGTATTGATAACATAATGGAACAAGTTGAGGCAGCTTATTTATAGTATGCCAAACAATTGTTGTCATAGACTTCGGAAAGCTAAATGCTTATAATGAAAGTCACTTAGCGTGCATGGGCGAAAGCCTGGGGCCATTCAGGATACCAAGCTGTCTCGAATATGTGAAATCATAACAGTGACTTATACCAACGTCCTATCTGTCTCTTTTCTCCATTATCACCAGGCTATGAGTCACGTAATTGTAAAATGGAAAAACTATGATGGAAAAGTGATGAATCGAATGTATCATGAGCGCGTATTATGATGTATGCATAGGCATACGTGGACTAGAGCAATAGAGGAAACAGAAAGGGAAGAGCAAAGATGAGCGCTTAAAAAGGATAGGCAGGGTCAGACCCTCAGATGTGCGATGATTTTCGAACGAATAGGTGTGTATGTGTGCTGATCTTTGTAATTATAAATTGTGAATACGTGTGACTAATATTATTTTCTTTTTTATTTTGTGCATGTTATAAGTTATAAATAAATATAAACAAACAACACTAACCCAATAACATTAAACGTAAATACCAAAATGATTAATTTACTGTGTTTTTGTTATTTCTTATTCCTGCTTTTAGGTATTCGGTATTCGGCCGAATAGTGAAAAATAGGCCGAATACCGAATAGTAACCGAATATTCATTACATCACTACTTAATATTGAAGGTAGAGATAAGTTTTATAAAAAAAATATTGTAAATGCTAAAAATGAGTAAAATCTTCATTAAGTCCAACTCCACTCACACATGACCCCCTCCATATCCCCATCCCTTTGACCTTCAACCACCAAAATTTAATAGCATCAATCTCCTAATACACAAACCTTCCTGCAAAATTTCAGAAATTTTTGACAAAGGCACAGGAATTATTAATTTTAACAATAAATTAATATGCTGAATTCAAACTATCATATATATGCTTTTTATGCATAATACATAATTTTATGTAACTTAGTATAGTTTAGTTGTGAGGAATTGAGCCCAAATGTTATTTTATTTTCTGGGTTGTTATATTTTGTTTGATTTTTACTTATTTTGGAGAATTTGTTTTGTTAAAAGGGCAAAAAACCCACACCCTCCATTCAAAATTGACAGCTGCCCCATGCATGTTGTTGCCTGCAAGTCCCAGTCAAAAAGGCATCTACAATTTGGTGAATTATCAGGTCAGTCCATAAGTTCATGCGTATTTTATGATCTTGAGAAAAATCTTGTTTTGCTGTTAAAAATGCCAGTCTAATGTGATAATTTTTACACTGAAGTGTTAAATTGGATCTCATTCATATAATACTGTTCAGAATTGGGAACATTTCAGTTGTTTATTTTCGTTAAAATGGAAGTAACAGATGAATATAAGAGACATGTTTTATACTTTTTATTTTTAAGTGATGAGAATGCTACAAATGCAGCCAAAAAATCAAATACTGCTTATAATCAAACTGTAACAAGTGTAAGGACTGCGCAGAAGTGGTTTGAAAGATTTAGAAATAATGATTTCAGTGTGGAGGATAAGGCTCATACTGGAAGACCCGTTGACTTTGATGATGATGCTCTCTCTGCACTAGTTGAAGCAGAACCATCTTTAACAGTTGATGAAATTGCGGAATGTTTAAATTCATCCCATGGAACTGTTCATAGATATCTACAACAAATCGGAAAAGTTTCAAAGCTAGGAAAATGGATACCACATGAACTGTCAATAGCTAACTGACAACAACATCAACTGCAGATAACAACATCAATTTTTGTCAGATAATGTCTTTTGCTTTTGTTGTTTGAAATAATTAATAATTTTGTTCAGAACTAAGTAAATTTTTCCTACATTGATTATTGTATCACTGTATGTATTAAAAAAAATTTTTCAATAAGCTGAAAGGAAACATAGATAAATAACATTGCTTAAGAATGATAAATATATTTCATATGTAATTTTATACTAATACAAAGGGCAAAGCTCATGATCACTTTCAGAACTTGATGGCACTTAATCATGGCATCTAATTTATCTAAGAAGGCATCAAAGGTCAAACCTTGACACCTTGTAGTACATAAAATATTTTGCTGTTTTAAAACTTCAGATTATTCTGGTAACATATTTGATGTTCCATTTGACTATACTACTTGAGTTTTTTGTAAGAAATTTGCATCTATTCAAACATTTTATATCCTTGAGTGAGAGAGTGAGTGAAGAAGTGCAATGTACCTTTACTTTATATAAATATAAGAAAATGTGTAAAACTTACCAATATACAGTAATATTAATGTTGAATGCATATTGAAAAGATTAGTGATGATGATAATAATAATAATATGCACAACATACCAACTATGTACTGTGCTGATATAAACGTACATGACATCTGCTATGCTGTTAACAGAACACATAACTGGAAGACACCTGGTGTAGACAACATTCACAATTTCTAGTACAAAAAGTTTACATCACTGCACCAGGAACTAGTTAAACATCTAACACAAATCATCATTAACCCACAAGACATGCCAAAATTTCTTACTCAAGGCATCACCTACATGAAACCTAACAACAATAAAACCACAGACTCCCACACAATACAGACCAATTACATGTTTTCCAACACTCTACAAATTATTGACATCCTGTATCACAAACAAAATATACAAACATGTTGAAGAACACAACATTCTTACAGAACAACAAAAAGGTTGCCGTAGAAATCACAGAGAATGCAAAGAACAGTTACTCATAGATTCAGTCATTCTATGGCAAGCACACAAACAACACAGAAACATACACATGGCATATATAGACTACAGAAAAGCATTCGACAGCGTTCCACACAGTTGGATGCTACATATTCTACACATGAACAAAATACATCCATCACTCATTGCATTCTTCCAAAACACTATGCAGCACTGGAGAACAACACTACATCTCAGGGTTAGTAACACTTCCATACAAACAAATGAAATATTCATTAGGCGAGGAATTTTTCAAGGAGATTCCTTGAGTCCTCTCTGGTTCTGCCTAACCCTGAACCCATTATCCAACATATCAAACAACATGCAATATGGCTACAATATCAGACATGAAAAAACAACACAGTTTACACTATCACATCTCATGTACATGGATGACATAAAACTTTATGCATCCACACAAAACCAACATCAACTCCTACAAATCACACATTCATACACTAAGGACATACAAATGGAGTTTGGCCTAGACAAATGCAAAACACTTCACACAGAAAAAGGAATCATGAAGAAAGATTTTGCACTTGGAAATGGAGATGTTATTGAATCCATGGAAGAGGGTGAGTTCTACAAGTATTTAGGATTCCAACAGGCCAAACTAACATTACACACACAAATAAAGCAAAGATTAATTAAAGAATACCAAAGTAGGTTAAATGCCATTCTCAAAACACAGCTAAATGCAAAACACACAGTTAAAGCAATAAACACATATGTCGTCCCAGTACTCACATACTCCTTTGGAGTTATACATTGGACTCGCACAGATCTCAAGCAACTCCAAAGGAAAACAAGAACAACACTTACTAAGCATAAACAACATCATCCTAAATCTGCCACAGAAAGATTAACCCTTCCACGTAAAGATGGTGGATGTAGCATGGTTGACATAGTTAACCTTCACTACAAACAAATAAAGTCACTGCGAGAGTTTTTCTACAAGAAACAAGAAACATCACAGTTACATAATGCAATAACTCTAGCAAACTCAAATAACACACCATTAAACTTACACTCACATCATACAGACATGACACAACATATAAAAAGCATAGACACCATCAATCAATCGTGGGCTTGAAAGGCACTCCACGGCAGCCATCCTTGTGACCTGGCCCAGGAGTTTGTTGACAAAACTGCATCAAATAGCTGGTTAGATCGGGAATGCCTCTTTGGGGACAGAAGGATTCATGATTGCCATACAGGACCAGGTCATAAATACTAAAAACTACAGAAAACACATACTCAAAGATACAACACTCACAGATGTCACATCATGCCAGAAATTATACAACACATCACTTCTGGTTGCAAGCTCTTGGCACAGACAGATTACTTACATGGACACAATCAAGTAGCAAATATAATACACCAAGAGCTTGCAAAGAAACACAAATTGGCNTGCCTGACAGTCTCGCGAATACTAAAAAATTCTTTCTGTCAGGAAAATAAAAGGCTGGAATTACAAGGGAGAGTTTCAAAGTTCATAGGAATACTATCCAATTAGTATATACCGGGCTAAGCATCGATGTTGATGTCTCCTGCACACCGAAAAGTTTTGAATTGTTGCCTGAAGACAAGGGAAGATCAATCAGTATTCATTATTTTAGTTCGCTTCTTCTTGTGTTTGTTCTGTGAGGTGTTCGTTGTCCAAACATAAAAATCTTTCCCGCAAGTGTTCGTTATCGGATTATTTCGTAGTCTGAACTGTTCATTAACCGATCACCCACTGTATATAAAATATTATGATATCTTTATCAGAAAGAAAATGATGTACAAATGAAACTCCATAATATATATATATAGTAAGAATTTATAAAACTAACTCTGCTCTATTTCTACATCCCTCCCATTCTGAAGTTAAATGGCATAAAATTGACTCTACAAAATATAGTCTCTCTTAGTGAGAGGATTAGTCATAGGATTTTGGTTAATAAATATGAAACAATCATAATGAAAAGAAAGTCTACACATTTGTAACATAAGATAACAAACAGCAAAAGAATTCATAAACAATATTCCTTTGACAAAATAAGTATATTGCAGAAAATATTCCAAAATATAATTCTTAACATTATAAAATTAAGAAGAGTTGTAGCAAGCAGTATCTACCTGTAACTGGTGGCATTTGAGTCTTGAATAGGTGAAAATTATTTTGGAATTTATAGCTATTAATAATGTACATGAGTTAGTTATATTTATTCAGCCACTAAGACTTCATTCAAAGAAATAAAAATGTTCAGAAAAGTATTAATGAGTTTTATAATAAAAACAACATAAAAGAAAAATATTAAATAATTCATTATTGTAATATTGAGTTTTTTTTAATAAAATCTATTAATTCTGCCATCTTGTGAAATATTGTTATATTATTTAAATTCCAATCATAAATCTTATTGATATGGTCTCTTGAGTTTGTTGTTTTTAAGATCAATATAAACATAATTATTCTTGCATAAAAATCAAATAATATTTACATAAAGACGACTTGAACCAGGATTATCTTCATTTTGAAGTTTTAAAAAACGGCTATTATTATGGCTATAAAGCAAAGTAGATACAGTATTGTGAAAAATTTTTTAATCATGGTTTTATTGTGAAAACACCATAGCCTAAAATAAAAGGTCTGCATTTTGATTAGTTTTTTACTTTGTGTGAATTTTTTAATATTCTATTGATATAATTGTTGTTTTAATGAAAATTACACTATATCTTCAAGCCAATTTGCTGCTACTTCTGAGGACTGTGAAAAGATAAAATAAATAAACTCAAAAAAATTATATATATTTTTTATATAAGTCTTTTAAAACTTCAAAATAATTATTCTTTTAATCTTTTTTCTTATTTTTATATTTTTAAACTATACAATACTATTTACAAATAAATATTGGTAATTTATACTTGATGAATTTAAATTTTCCAAAAATTTTGTGAGGCAACTGGAAGATTTTGAATGAAGTATACTAACAACCAAATTATCCATATTCCAGAGTATATGTGAGACATTAAATTAAAACACTTTATAAAATACATTAAAATACTTAGCAATGTTTTAATTTGATATACTTTAAAATAAACATATAAATTAACTTTTTTATCATCATCATATACAAACAAGCAATCTAATCAAGTCACTATAAAATTAACTTATTTGACAACTTGATTAGATATAATAATAAATAAATAAATTTTAAGATACATTTTCTATTAAATGATTTTCTTAAAAATATAATAATGTCAAAATTGTGATTTTAAAGAATTCATATAATTTGGTCACATAATACTTTAAAACTATTGAAAATGATCATTTGAATTAATTGTCTATTTTTTCTTGTTTTATCTTATATTTTGTGACATTTTTTCACTGGAAAATATCTGAAATTTTCTATATGTTATATTTAAACATATTAATAATAATAATAATAAAAAAATATAGAACATTTAGCTTTATTAGTTTCAAAATATAAATGAATCATATATGTAATATATCATAATTCTATAAGGTCAAACATTCTTGCAAATCAGTTGTTTATCATATATCATTATTGACATCACTAGCATAAGTTGTTCAAATATAGCAAAAATATTTCATTTATATGTCTAAATTAATTATGGGGTTTCATTTGTACATCATTTCCTTTCTAATACAAGATAACAGATATCACAATATTTTATATATATATATATATATAATATAATATTTTATATATACAGTGGGTGATCAGTTAATGAACATAATCCATTCCAAGACTTTGTTTCCTATCTGATTACTGATTTACCATATCTTTCTATGGGAATTTGATTAATCCATTCTGGATTCCCCTAAAAATAAAAAATTATATACTTTCTTACTATGTTTATTTATATGTAAATAAAAATACATATATACACAGTCTTGCATTTTTATCAGTCATGTTTTTCTGTTTGTGGGGTGTTAAAGTATCTGACCAATGTCAATTGCTTTTCTCTCTTCTTCAGGATTTTTCGGAAGTAATTAATAGCATTGTTGTCATAAAGATCCCTAAACCTATTAACCTCAACCTGGTTTGCATGCCATTCTAAGACTGTTGTTCTGACATCCTCTCCACTTCTTCAAAAGATTTTTAATAGCAGATATTGGCATTAATCCTCTTTTTCAGAAGAAAACACATCTCGCTGAGTTTCTTGGTATTCTACATTCAACAGTTCTTGTGTCTTCTATTGTAACATCAGTTTCAGGTTCCATTATGAGCTCTTCAATGTTCTTTATTTCTCAGATTTGATTTTTGTTACTCCTTTAGCTGCTTGATTATACTGTAATCCTTCTTAGATAAGATTGAATTGTGACCTACTGTATACCTGTTCAAGCCATACTGCCCAGCAACATCAGACATAATCTGTCCATTCTCTACCTATTATATCTATTATACTCTCACCTTTCGAAAATAAAAACAGACGCAAAACTTAATGAGTGCCTGCCTGACAGTCTCGCGAATACTAAAAAATTCTTTCTGTCAGGAAAATAAAAGGCTGGAATTACAAGGGAGAGTTTCAAAGTTCATAGGAATACTATCCAATTAGTATATACCGGGCTAAGCATCGATGTTGATGTCTCCTGCACACCGAAAAGTTTTGAATTGTTGCCTGAAGACAAGGGAAGATCAATCAGTATTCATTATTTTAGTTCGCTTCTTCTTGTGTTTGTTCTGTGAGGTGTTCGTTGTCCAAACATAAAAATCTTTCCCGCAAGTGTTCGTTATCGGATTTGTTCGTAGTCTGAACTGTTCATTAACCGATCACCCACTGTATATAAAATATTATGATATCTTTATCAGAAAGAAAATGATGTACAAATGAAACTCCATAATATATATATATAGTAAGAATTTATAAAACTAACTCTGCTCTATTTCTACATCCCTCCCATTCTGAAGTTAAATGGCATAAAATTGACTCTACAAAATATAGTCTCTCTTAGTGAGAGGATTAGTCATAGGATTTTGGTTAATAAATATGAAACAATCATAATGAAAAGAAAGTCTACACATTTGTAACATAAGATAACAAACAGCAAAAGAATTCATAAACAATATTCCTTTGACAAAATAAGTATATTGCAGAAAATATTCCAAAATATAATTCTTAACATTATAAAATTAAGAAGAGTTGTAGCAAGCAGTATCTACCTGTAACTGGTGGCATTTGAGTCTTGAATAGGTGAAAATTATTTTGGAATTTATAGCTATTAATAATGTACATGAGTTAGTTATATTTATTCAGCCACTAAGACTTCATTCAAAGAAATAAAAATGTTCAGAAAAGTATTAATGAGTTTTATAATAAAAACAACATAAAAGAAAAATATTAAATAATTCATTATTGTAATATTGAGTTTTTTTTAATAAAATCTATTAATTCTGCCATCTTGTGAAATATTGTTATATTATTTAAATTCCAATCATAAATCTTATTGATATGGTCTCTTGAGTTTGTTGTTTTTAAGATCAATATAAACATAATTATTCTTGCATAAAAATCAAATAATATTTACATAAAGACGACTTGAACCAGGATTATCTTCATTTTGAAGTTTTAAAAAACGGCTATTATTATGGCTATAAAGCAAAGTAGATACAGTATTGTGAAAAATTTTTTAATCATGGTTTTATTGTGAAAACACCATAGCCTAAAATAAAAGGTCTGCATTTTGATTAGTTTTTTACTTTGTGTGAATTTTTTAATATTCTATTGATATAATTGTTGTTTTAATGAAAATTACACTATATCTTCAAGCCAATTTGCTGCTACTTCTGAGGACTGTGAAAAGATAAAATAAATAAACTCAAAAAAATTATATATATTTTTTATATAAGTCTTTTAAAACTTCAAAATAATTATTCTTTTAATCTTTTTTCTTATTTTTATATTTTTAAACTATACAATACTATTTACAAATAAATATTGGTAATTTATACTTGATGAATTTAAANCTCTCACCTCCTCCACTCGACCTGACAAAAGAGTCCCAACTTTCCGGGATAGAAAAAGCATTTTCCAAGCCATCCACTGACCGGTGGGCAGTTCTCACCGAACTGTTGCCTATCAAAAAGAGGTACGACCTCGTCCTACTTCAGGCTACCCACAAAATTTTCCAAACTTTATAAAATATTAATAAACTGGGAAAAAGTTTCAGAAATCAGAAATTGTTTTGTGATGTGATCAATATTATTAAAATGAAAAATGATAAATAATACCATTTGAATTAATTAATATTAAGTTATTTATCATTTTTAATTCTTTGTTATCATTTTTTTCCATCAGTTCATTAACATCTTCTCTCAAATTGAAAGTGTAAATTGCAAGAGATAGAAAGTTAAAATATTTCAAAAATTTTTTATCAGCATTAGATTATTAAGAGTATTAAATTTTTCTCTCAAACTTATAATACTGCATAATTAATACAGCAGTTTTAAAATCTAAAAGTATTTTAAAATTGAAAAATAACAATTGATATTGTTGTATGCTTATATATTTTGTGTGCTATAGTTTTAGGGAAAATTTTGGGATCCTGAAAATATTCAGCGCTCCCTTTTTTCCTGACTTTTTGACAATTTTTAACAAATTCCCTGACTTTCCATGACTTTTTTGGAACATTAATGTAAATCTCTGACTTTCCCTGATTTTTCCTGACTTTCCAGGTGCATAGGAACCTTGCATATATGCACAAGCGAAAGATTCTTTGCATTTTGCAAATAATTTTTGTGAACCGTGTATTCGCATTTTTAACCGGATGCATTTTTACCCTCTTATATTTACTCTCTTGTAAAAACATGAGTATTTTATCTGGGTCATTTCAATCATTCTTGTATATTGTCAGGAGTAAAGATGAATAGCAGTAGGAAAAGCAAAGCTTTTCAATTGAATTCCAGATTGAAATTCCAAAATCACTTGGGAGCCCGATATAAGTTTTGATCCATTCCTACGTGAAAACACAATTATTCAGAAATCAGAATTCAGAGAAACTCATAAGTGTAATCGATGGAGAGTGGATTTGACTGTTAAGAATTGGCAAAAAAAATAAAAAATGGTTTCCGATTGTCCAGCTTTACATAAATAAATTATGTTGTTGATTTTACAAGATTTTTCCTTAAAGTTTAAAATGCCAGTAATTTTTGCGAGACAATGTATTTATGTTTATTAATGCATTTATGTTTATTTGATATTTTACTTGTGATTAAATGAAATAAAATTAGAACTGTATTAACAAATCTAATTTTTTTATTTTGATTTTTAATTAATTAAGTCACACCTTGTCCTATATGTGAGGTCGTCTTATATGCAAGTAAATATGGTATATATCAGGTTGTAAAGGTGAAATGTAGACATTTTGGTTATTTTCTAGAAATGATGGAAAAAAATGTTCTAGAACATTTGCTATGGGTATGTAAGTAGAGTAACCAAAGGGTGTTTTATTATATATTTCATTGAAAATAGATTCATCAGCAATATCTGACAATATGAAACTTTCAAAAGAACACATTTGTGTGCTATTGCTCTATCACTTCAAAAGTGGCACAATACAATGAAGATGCATGATCTCATCTGCAAGGCATTTGGGGAGGACACAGTCAACAGACAGACCTGCTACAATTGGTTCAAAAAATTCAGAATGGATATTTTCTAGATTCAAGATGAACACCATCCAGGCAGTAATTTCACCATTAATGATGACATTCTTGCAACTGATAGATCCATAAAAAATTAGCACAACTTGAGTGTTCTCAAACACTCCAAAAATTGAAAAGCCTGATATCATCACAACAACATGTCAGCACATAGAGCAAAGATGACTTTAGAAAAACTGGCCAGTCTATGCTGGAAGGTTCTGCCTCATCCACTTTACAGTCAAAACTTGGCACCAACTGACAACCATTTATTTTGTGGCCTGCAGAACTATATTACTACTGTAATATTCAGTTCAATAAAAATAACCACGTGAGAACAATGCTCAAGACTTTCTTCAAAGAAAAACCCCAGCCATGCTATGCTTATGGGAATGAAAGTTTACAGCAAAGATGGTGAGATGTGATTGATATTGATGGTAATTATCTACCAGGTTGAACTGTAATCATTGGTGAGTTAACTGTCAATAAAGTTTTTTCAAATGACTAAATTTCACCTTTACAACATGATATAATAATAAAATTGTTTTATTGAATAAATCATATNCAGAGTAAATGTGAGACATTAAATTAAAACACTTTATAAAATACATTAAAATACTTAGCAATGTTTTAATTTGATATACTTTAAAATAAACATATAAATTAACTTTTTTATCATCATCATATACAAACAAGCAATCTAATCAAGTCACTATAAAATTAACTTATTTGACAACTTGATTAGATATAATAATAAATAAATAAATTTTAAGATACATTTTCTATTAAATGATTTTCTTAAAAATATAATAATGTCAAAATTGTGATTTTAAAGAATTCATATAATTTGGTCACATAATACTTTAAAACTATTGAAAATGATCATAAATCTTTTACCATTAATAACAGAGCGATGCCTTTGAATAGCTTCATCAACCATAAATGTTCGATGTGATGAATTTGTAAATGATGAATCAAATGGTGCTACTACTCCAAGTTCTTCATTGTTAGTAGAACTGCTACTGCCATCACCATCATCCCTTCGACCATTCAGAGGTCCTCCACACTGACCACATATACCTCTAGAACGTTCTTCATCCAAATATAAGCAAAGTTCCTTTAAAAAAACATACATATTTATATAAATTTTCAGAAATTATTTCAGTGTTGTAGAGAATGAAAAAATATTTAAATGACAGAAATAAGAAAATTTATGAATTATGATATTTATGATTATGAATGAAAAGCTGTTTCATGTTCTTAATCCTATAAAATAATCAACCAAATAAGAAATATCTTTTAATAGTTAACAGCTCAAAATCTCTTTCACTTTTTGTAAGCTGCTCAAATTATAGTGTTAAGAACTAAACTAATGAATATTTTGACTCACTAACATTAGACCATCTGGATTTACCCTCTACTCTGGAACAATCAAAGGAAACAATTTGTCCCTTGTATTTAAGTCTATTTTAGTTTATTTAGGTTTTAATATTTAAATCACACAATTTGAATTTTTGGAGCATCTGGTATTGTAATAATGTAGTTACAAACATATTTCAATGAAAAATTCACTTAATTTTCATACAAATTACACAAAAATAATGATTTTATTTTACCTACATACAAATTTCAGACAAGCTTTTTACACACTGAGCATCTATGTGTGTTTTGTTTTATTTGAAATTTTTTAACACTTTGCATTTAAATCTGCATGTTACTTCAAGAATGTTGTGACCTTTTTCACTAAATACTGATGGAAGAATGCAGATAAATTTTGTTCCTGCCATTTTTGTATTAAATTTCATGTATTTATTGCAGGTAAATCAGTATGTTATACAAAGAATGCACAATGTGAGAACCAAGGGGGTTAGAGCGCTGAGCTTCTCCCCTCTTACCTGACAAACAAGTGCTGAGCCTTCTTTGTCAGGGATGGTCAGGGTGGTAAATGAGTAAGAGGGTGAGCGAGGTCGTGACAAGGTGTCGGTTGTACTTAAGGATGACACGTATTTAGATATAAGAATAACATATTTAATTAATTATAAAGATATACAAAACGAGTACAAATCAAAGGCTACAAAAAGGGAAAGATCCAAAAATACTTCTAAATCATGACAAAGAATAGATGGTCGTCGATAAGTCGTCTAAATTTTGGCCTGTTATAGGGCATAATATCTCTTAAGTTACACTAGTTTAAGTTCAATCTATAACCGAGAGAGTGAGAGTTAGAGTTCTCAAAAAAATTACCTTTTTAACCACGGCGATCAAGATTTGACGAGCTGGTATGTCGGAGTGGGGGTTCGAAGGGATACCCGCCAGTGTCTTCCCTCCGATGATCGCCCCGAGGTGCAGATGCGACCTCTTTTTACACATGGCCCAAGGGGGAGAAGATCGGGGAATTTTCTGATGCAATCCCATGCAAGTTCGACATGTCTGGGGTTGTTTATACTAACTGTCATAAATTGAAACATTTCTGTAGATTTATTACTTCTTCTATCTGGTATTGTCACTCTTTCTAACTCATAAATTTGATAACAGTTGTCAAACTAACCGAATTAATGGCAGGAGACGACTAAGGTTAGGGTATATAGTGCAACCTTAGTAATAATTGTTCACCTGATGGGTCATCTGATCAGTTTTATCATCGTTAGAATTGGATGGAGTAGAAAGTGGGTGGGTTGGTTCGTTTCGGACTCCACTTGCAGGTGACCTTCTTGGTTACCCTCTATCGTATAATGATTTGAGGTTTTTGTTAATTGGCTAGTTATTTCATAAATGATAACAAAGGTGTTTATTAAATGAAGCATCCCCGGTTGTGAGGAATGAAGTTGGCAGTCTTTCAAAAAGGTCTTTGGAAGTTGGGAATATCAATTCTCGACATGATGCAGAAAGTTGAGGGGTTAACAGCTTTGTGGTGGCTAAAGTGTAATTTTTAATAAATTAGTTACTGAAAAAAGCAAAAAATGTGCAAAAAGTTACACCTACTTGATAACTACAAGGCAGACAAATCCCTATATTGATTTTTATTAGTCTTTTTATTAGTCACTTAGATCATAAATGTAACAATTCTGAATATATTTCCCACTCATTGAAATGGATACAAATCACATTGGTAACTCAACATTCGAATAAGATTCAATTAAAATGAAATTTTTACAGCTGAAAAAAATAAATAATATAGTGTATATATATTTTAATTATATATGCTATATATATTTTTTGGTATATTCACATTCCTAACACAAATTCGATGTTTTGTAATCCATTGTATTCTTGACTTTATAATGATCAGGTTAAAATACACTATGGCTGCTGGCATATACCTCCGAATAGTGGACAAACTTCTTGGTCCCAACTGTGTTTGCTATTCGGAGATTATACTATATTAGATATTTCATCTCAACATCCACAAGATAGTATTTTTGGCTATATTTATCTGGCTTTAAAGCATAAATTGCATAAATAGATATCTTGTTTTGCTGGAAAAAAGTTGCTCATCAATGGTTATATTTGGTTCTGGCTTATAGCAAGTCCGACAGTTCTCAATGTATCTGTTCATATTGCTGAAATCAAGGCAAATTTATCATTCCCGAGTCATTGTGATCAGGTGGCTTTTAAGTTAAAATGGAGAAACCTCATTATTTCAGAAAAAAATTACATGCCATAAATTTTTGACCAAGAAAGTCTCCAATTTTATAACTAAAATGAATGGAGCTCAATGTTTCAGCATCCACTCAACAAATATAGCAATAAAAGATTTTATTTATGAAAAGAGACCAATCATTACTTTTCGGCACCTAGTGGAGCTTCTGTTTCAGTACATTTTTTTTTTATATGTCAGAGAATAAAACTGTCTATCATTAGATGCCAGGCACTTAGTATGCTTAGTTTTCATAATTAATTTCTCTACTATATGATTCTTGTTAGGAATATTCTGTAATTCTTTTATAACTTCTTCACTTTTAAGGTGAACCATTTTCAAACAAAACAACTAAGTAACTGGTAGCAGAATGAAATCCGATCTTTTTTCAAAAAATAATACACATAACAAATAAATGAGTAAATAAATAAATACATTATAAGTAATTACTTAAAATAATCAAAAACACCTTAATAATTCCAGCAACAAAGTATGCTTCGTTGCTGGAATTACTAAGGTGTTTTTGATTATTTTAAGTATTTATATTCCAGTAAGTTATTTTATTTTATTACATTATAAGTATTTATGAATGATGATAAAAAAAAAAACGGAAAAAAATTACACAACAAGAGAATCGAACCTAAGCATACAAGCGTATGAGTCAGGAGCATTACCACTCACACCACAGCACACTCAAGCAGAAGTATGCATAACTTATATATAAAGTGCTAAAGAAAACTTTAAGTCTGTTTTTCTCGATTATATTTGAGTGTTGCAGTTTAGTATTTTACAGGTAGTACACTCACATGGTGTACTACCTCTACACCAATGATCATCAAAATCCTTTTCCCCAAAGCTGTAAGGTCTCCTTGTAAGATGAATTATAATATTTAACATAGAAAGTTAAAAAGAAATCACAAAAACATTTACTGCCATGATAAAGATTAATAAAATAAGAGCTAGCAAAAGATCATATGAGGATAATTTGTCCTCTTTGGGCATTCCAGTGTTAAAGAAAAATTAGCCAAGTATGATCTAAATTTCAATAAATGAAGAATGCAATGCTATAATGTTGTAAATGCAAAAAAACAAAAAAAAAAAAAAACTTTTCAGGAGAGGTAAAAACACTTTTTCTAGTGAATTAATTCATTTCAATTTTACAATAAAATGGTAAAAAATTCTCTGGAATATCAAAATGATGTAAATAAATAAGCTGTCCATTTTAAACACCAAAAGTCATGTCACTTGCACTCTGGCTCTTTAAATGTTATATCTTCACATAAATTCAACTTCAAAATACAGCCACTTACAGTGCCAATGTCTCCACAATATTTTTTGGTGGCAGAAAATATTGCAATTAGAACTCAATTTCTCAATGAAACATATTTAGAGAAAATGGTATTTACAATGTTATGGCATTACATACTTCAAATGTCCAGATATAAAACTTTCTAGAATTTAACTTTTGGTTGGGCTGGCAAAAACATTATTTAATGATCAAAATCAAAGAATTTTTAATGTTAATTAAGAAAATATTGGAAAAGTTAAGGTTCATATCATAGAAACGGTTAGATGTTTCAAAAAAATAGATGAAGTTCACTGTAACTTGTTAACAGAGATACAAACAAAATATTTTATCCCTTCAGAATATATTTAATGGAAGATATTACGAAATATTGAATAAAAATCTGAATTATATACCAGTAAGATATGATATAATCTCCTTTTCTTTCAATTATTTTCTTTTTTAGCATTTAGCTCTTTCAATCTGGGTTGCTACATCAATCAGGAGCTTAAAAATTTTAGTTTTTAAATTCAAGTTATCTAGACATCTGTTAAAATTTCGATCATACTGTATTTGTAACATTAACATTACAAATGTATAATATTAACAATGACAATAATGATAAACTTACTTTCAATTCTAGATTATCTCTTATTAAATCTTGTTGTTTATTTTCCAATTCTTGCAATTTAGTTTGATATGCAGAGACCTCTTGGCGCATAACACTTGCAGTGTAACGACCAAATCTTTGCCATTCACGTGCAAGTTTCCGACCTTTTTGGCGATCATCATCAAGAAAGCAACAGAGATCACGAAGATCTTGATTATCATCTTGTAACTGTTGATTTACTTCCTTCAAGCCACGGATTTCAAATAAATGAACCTAATTTAAAACAATAAGTATTTTTATAAGTAACATAAGCAATAAGATTAAAGTAATAGGTATATATATATACTAGGGTTTCTCATTTCCCGGTCTTTTGCTTGTCCCGGGATCCCGGGATAAAAGTGAACTGTTTCCCGGGATCCCGGGATAGAATTAATTATTTCTAAGGTATACAAAATATCTTGAAATCAAATGATATAATTATTTTCCATTTTTTAAAGTAATTTTAAAGTTCTGTAACCTCCAAAATCATATTAATAATGCTGTGTAAGGTCTATAGGCCTATAATAAAAATTACCTTTAAATAACGTAGAAATTTTCACAAATAGAAAAAAATTAATTAAAGTTTGCTGGAAACTGCATACA